AGCTTATAGCTCCTTAGATGTGGATACATTTTTTTAGGCTTTTGTCCCCCTTTGTATTATTTATATAGCACCAACCATTTACACAACTCACATTAGACATGTAAGCTGCCGGAAAAATACAATTCGGTTTGGATATTTGGTTATTTTGGAATTCGAAACCGAAATTCAATTCGGTTCGGGTTTTGGATTCAGACGAAATCCAAATTTCGTTGGTTTCGGATGAGTTTATGAATATTCGTTGGGAGTAAAACAGAAAACCATCTACAGATATTAATACTAAAGCTGAATCTCCCAGACCTGAATGGCATTTGGGATCCGAATTTCTGAATTGCATTGGGGAGCTCCTGAATGCCATTCGGGTCAGGGAGCCATATACATATATCACAAAAGCTGAGGCTCCCAGACCCGAATGGCATTCCATTCGGGTCTAGGAGACTCCGCTTTAGTATTATATGTATATACTGAACATGAATTTTAGTTAAAATTCAGACCCATTTGGATGCATTAAACCGAAAAACACATCTGATTGGCCAGAAAAGTCACATGTCCCATTCAGTTTCATTTCTGAACGTAATTTGAGCGGGATCCAAGATTCGGATTCGGACACATTCAGATGCATTGGGATTCGGAAATTTGGATGTGTCAGAATTTCAAAGAATTTGTACGAATTTTGATTCGGATGAAACGAATCGCACATTCACATCAGTCCCTGTCTTCGAGGAGCTTACAATTTAAGGTCCCTAATCTCACATGCATACAGGGCTGATTTAGACAGGAGCCAATTAGCCTACAGCATGTCTTTGGAGTGTGGGAGGAAACCCACACAAGCTCAGGGAGAACATTCAAACTCCTTGTAGATAGTGTCCTGACGAGGATTTGGACCAGGGATCCCCAGTGCTGCAGGCATAAGAGCTAACCACTGAGACACTGTGCTACCCTTTATTTTTACCTGATATTCCTGCAAATATTACACTTCCTGTCCTATGAAGTTGTAGTTACATTCAGCTGGGCTTGTTCTGTCAATCTGAAGACGTTTTGTAGCAAGTTTCCTTGCCTTCTCCCGTCTCACTTTAGGGTACACACCCCAGTAAGGAACTTACCACTTATATCTATACCATGATCTGAATAAATGAGAACCTTCACAGACATACTTCCCTTCCAAGGTTGGAGACTCGCTCACTTCATGGTGGTCACACAGGCTGGACTTCCTCTCTTGATCCCCATTACATGGGTGGTGATGGGATTATAGTTACTAGGGATGTACCGATACTTTTCGAGTACCAGTGCCGATACTTGGCATTTTCCTGAGAACTATCAGGGTTGCAGAGTTTGCAGCTGGGACCCGGCCCTGCCGCTCCATCACTGTCCTGAAATCATCAGTCTGTATTGTTTTAGAAAAACTGTCACATGACAATAAAAAATGTATCAGTACTCGTACTCGCAAAACTGGTATCTGTGCATCCCTTTAATTACATTTATAAAAACAAAATCATACATTATAAAAGAGATGTACAAATCCCGGGAGCTCCGTGTGCTCTTTACAAATGACAGCGGCCTCCTAACTTTTGAATTTTTCTCTAGTCTAGTCCTGGAGCTGGAAAAGTATCGGTACTTGTACTTGTACCGAGTACTGTACTTGGTATCTGTGCATCCCTAATAGTTACAGAAGAAAAATAACATTGTTTGTGCTTTCAGGTCAGCTCACAGGAAGTGACAAGGGCACCTAATGTGTAGCAAGATCAATGCGTATTGTCTGCACTGGCTGGAAATATTCTTAGCCTAGAAATAAAACACCATGACGCATCTACCACAACTAAGGACTAAACTACAATATGTTACATCTCAGCGGCAAACTATCACATTTTTATTGTTTAAGATTTCAGTTTTGTTCCTTTAGATTAAATGACCATTGACAATAAATAAATAAATAACTGATTTCTGGAAGCTGGAGTGAAGAAAATAAAAAAATGTGGAGTTCTGGTCTAAATCAACCAATTATAAATCTTTGTTGAGGTGGCCATACACTTTACAACCCTTGCAAGACTTTTGTCTTGCGAGGGTTGTAAAGTACTTTAAAAAATGTACGATCTGCCTATCTTGGACAGGCAGATCGTACTTGCGATAATCGCAAGCCCTCCCCCCTGAGCGGCGGGCTTCCGATGACTGTAATGAGGGGCGGGCTTGTGATGATTTCAAACGGGCCGTGTGCGCGTGTGCACACCGGCCCGTTCGTCAGTTGTCGAACCAGCAGGCCACTAACTCGCCGAGAATCGTACGATTCCTGGCGGGTTTTCTAGCATGCTGGTTCGACGGAAGACGTGCGACCGTACAGTAGAAACGGTCGCACGCCTTCCATACACTGCACGATTCTCGTAAGATCGCGGGATTTCCCGCGATTCTCGTACGAGAACCGTGCAGTGTATGGGCACCTTAAGGTTCCCGAAAGTGAAACTTGATTGGTGGGTATTGACAACACCTCCCATTCCTCTTCTCAAGTTTTAATAAATCAGTCCCAGTGTTTACTCACCAACACTTACAGCTGCCCAGGTGTAAGTCACAAGTAAGCCTGCACAATTATAATAACGTAATACATTTAGATTCTGGGCAGGAGCCTAGCCATGTCTGTCTCTCCTAAAGGCCAGATGACCACCATTGGTCACTTGTAATGTTCTACACCAGGGATAGGTAAACTTCAGTTCTCCAGCTGTGGTGCCAGTACAAATTGTATGAGGCATTGCAAGACTTTGACAGCCACAGACATAACTCCCAGAGACGGGCGCATGGAGGGATTTCTATTAGTTTCACCACAGCTGGAGGGCCAGAGGTTGCTTTCCCCCGTTCTATGCACTCGTCAAATAACTCTCATGTGGTTTATCCCTAGGACATGCACATCATCAGCACCGATGAGAAACAGGTGTTTGCTGCCGTTCAGGAGTGGAACCAAAACGAAACGTACAACCTGTACATCTCGGATACACGGGGAGTCTACTTTACCCTCGCCCTGGAGAATGTCAGGAGCAGCCGGGGCCTGGAGGGAAATATTGTCATTGACCTTTATGAGGTATTGGCTGAAGGTCATGTTACTTCTATATAAATTGTGATATTGTAATGGAAATTATCTCACAGGCTGAATATTGATTGATTTTGATTGACTGTCACACTTAACAAGCAAGAGCGAGAACCAGTTACTATGGATGAGATTAAGAATTTTTATTCTTCTCGAAATTTCAGCTAAAATATAAAGATTATCTATTGGGCTAAATGCATTGGAGGCAATTGGGAAGAGGATATTATGGAGGTTTTTGTGTTTTTTGGGTGCAGTGGTCCTTAAATGGCTCCTGATGTTTGTAGAAGTGCCATTCAAGTTCTGGAACTGATCCTGTCCCAAAAATTGCCACTAATTAGCCTAATTAGCCTTAGCATTTTAGTTCATAAAATGTCATGTTCTTTGTATTTGTATTATATTTCCTTTTTTGATTGTATTTAATTTTTAGTTATGTACCATCTTTTAAATTTGTTTGCACAAATTTATTTGATTATTATTTGTGTCTGTTACTTTTTTTTTCTCTTTTTTTTCTTTCTCTTAAAAAACATTAAAGTGACACTAAACTCAGGAGTTAAATCTTAACAATACATTCAAGTACCTTACTTAGTAACAACAATGTATCTTATTTGTGTGTCACTCGGCTGTAGATCCTCCAATCATCTCAGAGATGATTGGAGGATCTACAGCCGAGTGATACACAAATAATATACATTGTTGTTAATAGTCAAGGTACTTGAATGTATTGTTAAGATTTAACTCCTGAGTTTAGTGTCACTTTAATGTTTTTTAAGAGAAAGAAAAAAAAAAGAAGAAAAGAAAACAACAAACTAAAGTAACAGACACGAATAACAATCCATTACAATTGTACAAAAAATAAATACATTGTGGCATATAAATAAGGATCAAATACAAACAAAAAAGGACATTAAATAAAAATATAAAGAACATGACATTTTATGAACTAAAATGCTCTAAAGATATGAACCCTCCTCTCCCCAAAAAATAAAATCTTTGAAATTAAGAGAAAAAAAGAGTAGATTATATTCCCTTAAGCAAATTTTGCATAGGCACCTAAATGAGCAAAACAAAGAGTTCTCTTTTTATAGAAATTTTACCAACAGCAATATTGGCAATTTTGTTGCAAAATCAGTTTCAAAGGAGAAGAGATCAGTTCCGTTGGCAGGATTGTCTTTTGCTAAAAGGAAGAGCACCTTGGCAGCTCAATAGACATATCCAGTTTGTGGAATTTATTAAAGTGTATGTCCAGCCAAAATGTTTTCTCTTAGTTCTGGTAGCCTGGCAAAGGATTATTATAACCCCTGTCAGGTTTCTAGTACTATCAAGGGTTCCTTCACTCCCTGTCCGGCTGACAGTGTTTAGCAGACAGAAAGTGAGAGGAGCATTCCAACAGCAACACAAAAATAAATAAAAAATGTGTTTCTTTAGTAGAGTAAGGGGGGAGGCCAGAACTCCTCTCAGATTTTTTTTCTGTGTCTGTTGCTGATGCTTTCTTCACTTCCCGTCTCATGAAATCATTGTCATCAGGACAGGAAGTGAGGGTGAATCTCGAAAAAAACACGGGAAAGCAGTAAAAACTAGGGATGCACCGATGCCGATACTAGTATCAGTATCGGTGCCGATACCGAGTATTTGTGCGAGTACTCATACTCACCCAAATGCTACGATACCTTCCCCGATACCGGGACTTTCGGTCAGAGGAAGATTTCCTCTGACCTGCAGTGCCATAGGGGAACATGGAACCAGCTTCCTGTGCGATCAGGAAGCTGGGCGGCGAGTAATGATCCGTCTGCCGGGTTCCTGATTGGCCAGGAAGCCGACTCCATGCTGATTGGCTGGGAAACTGACTTCCCGGCCAATAAGCATCGAGACGACCGAACAGCCAGCTTCCCGGCCAATCAGCAGCTGTTCTGCTGGCTCGATGCTGATTTGCTGGGTAGCTGGCTTTCCAGCCAATCAGCATGGAGCTGACTTCCCAGCCAATCAGGAAGCCAGGAGGTATTTCATTACTCACCGCATGGCTTCCTGATTGGCCAGGAAGCCAGCTCCATGCCAGCTGAAGCACCGGCATCGGTACTCGGTATCGGCGAGTACCGAAAGCAAAGTATCAGTACTCGTACTCGATACAGAAAAACTGGTATCGTTGCATCCCTAGTAAAAACCCAGCAGGAGTTCTAATCCTTCCACGCCCTATTCAAAACTGGAAAACGTAGCTTGATATACACTTTTGTATCAATGCTTTTTAGTTTTTCTCATCCAGGGGTCTTTAAAGCTTTCAGCGTTTTATAACACTATCTTCAGCACAAATAAAAAAATCATTTCCATAAATACCATTAAAATTGGATTGCTCTACGTGCTATAAAATAATGACTTTTCTTTTGTGTTGCACTGAAGTTCTCCTCGATTTTTTGGAAGTTTATACAGCCAGTGAAATGTAAGAAATGGTGAAAAGTAAAAACAATAAAAAAAAAACAAAGCTGTAAGAAAAAAAGTGAAGAACAGAATAGCAAAATATTGATTTTGACCCTTTGGAGGCCGACCCCACGGTGTTTCATTTTCTTCTATCGGCTGGATGTGCCTGAATCTGTTGCGTGTTAAATAATTCAGATTGTAAAAAGAAAAAAAATAATAATGTTCCACATTTCTCTAAATTGCTTCCCTTCCAATTATTTTTTCCTAGGTAGCTGGGATAAAAGGTGTACTCCTGGCCAACAAGAAAGTTGATGAGCGTGTGAAGACCTTTATCACTTACAACAAAGGTCGGGACTGGCGTCTTATTAAGGCCCCAGACGTGGATATGAAGGGGAATCCCATCAATTGTCTGCTGGTTAGTTATACAATTCCATAATTACTATATATACATTGGGGGGAATTTATCAAAAGCGGAGCAGCTAAAATCTGGAGCAGTCGTGCATGAGAATCAGATTCTCTCTTCAGTTTGTTCAGGTTTGTCTGGTCATGCATAAGAGTGGGCTGCCCAACTTGAGAACCAGTAGACCAGATTGTCTAGTTACAACCATTCTGGACATTGAATCCTCCAGCTTAACCAGGACATTTGCTGGATTACCAGAAATTGTTACAAAGTAACCACATAAAGATGAAGATGTGGCCACTGCCATGTGGTTTTATCGCATACTATAGATCCTTGGTTCTCAACTGGTGGTTCGTGACCCAAAAGTGGGTCGCAACCCCATTTCAGTGGGTCGCTGCATACCTTCCACTTTTCTAGGTAGGAGGCTCCTCTGCCTCCCCCTAGTGCAGCACTGTCAGTTCTCGCACTAAGCAGCCATTCAAAATATGCTGGCCGGCACCGAATGTCAGCTTTAGGTGGGATGGTATGGGGCTATGGCCGTGAGGGAGCTCCATCTATATGTGCATTGCTTACAGCTCCCTCACATGTCCTATAGAGTTTCCATTGTGACATCAAATTCTGGCTCCCGGCACCTCTTTAGGGCAAGAGAGCTGTACAAGCAATGCACATATGGATGGAGCTCCATCACAGCACAGCAGCCCACATTGGACCCCAGGCTTAGGATCCACTCCAGTTCTCAAAAGGTAGGGAGACTGGGTGGACCTTAACATTTTTTTAATACATTAAACAAAATTTGGAGTGTGTATGTGTGCCAGAATGTCTGTGAGTGTGTCAGTGTTTTTGAGGCCCGTTCACACTAGCACAGTGCATTAATCGCAGAGTACTGTGCGAGTAACATACTGTACCACGCAATCGCACCTACTGTGGATTCTGGTGTGGGAGGTGTGTTGCGTTGCCATTCATTTGAACGGTACCCCAAACGCACCTCTCACCCACAGTTCGTACGCCCCCGCACCGGAACACAGGGTACCCTAATTCCGTATGTTCCATTGCAGTGTGACTTGTGTCGTGACTTAATGACCAGGGGCAAATGTGGGTCCTGAGGTTACACATGATGAGAACCACTGCTGTAGATTGTCATCAGAGGTCTGATGGTTTAAATATGAGCATCAGGGGTGCCATGTGTAGAAAAGAGCAAAGATGAGTGCGCCAGGAAATTAGCATTGTATGCTATGGAGTTTTGAGAGATTTACATGTTTTAGCAGATCCTGGCTGCTCATTACAGACAGATTAAGGTCAATGTCAAACTATCGATCCCGTCACTGGCTGCAGTGACAGAATTGCTAGCAGAGTAGAGAACAGAACTTTTTGCAACTTTTAAAAAGTTATTAGTAAGTTCACCAGAAGGTCCTGGAGCAGAAAAACAGAAAAGAATAGGCGAAAGGACACATGACAGGGCAGACAGGGCAACAGGATAGAAAGGGTTAGGAAAAGGGGGGTGTACAGGGGTGGTCTCTTACCTTTGTTTGGCCAATTAGGTGTGTCAGGAGGAGTCTCCCTGGTGGTCCAAGAAGGGGTGGAGGGTTAGCCAGCAGTTCAGGGTTGCCACACGTTGAGATTAGTTCCCACCCTCCCTCCCTTGTTTCGTTTCTTGTTGGGGTCACGTTATCTGTGGTGCTGGTGTGGCGTCGTCTGTTATGGCGATTTATGTTGGGCTGGTCGTGACTCCGGTTGGGCTCGTCCGTGGTACGCAGTCCTGGGAGCTTGCAGGTCCCGCAGGAGAGAGGTCAAAAGACTGAGGGTAGGAGCTCTCTGAGGTTTATGTACTGTGTTGTCCCTGAGTCGGTGAGTTGTGGCTAGGGGCCAGTTGGTTAAGTGGTATGGAGAGCTCTACGGTAGGAGACCAAGGGTGTCTTCACAGACCTCAGCCACATTGATAGGAATACATTGTATTTAAACTGTTATGGTTGAATGTTTTATATTCAATTTGTTATAAAGTTATTATTTAAATAAACGGCTGCTACAGCCATTTTATATCCAACTTGGTGTGGTCTATTATTAGGTACGGGTAATTATAATGGGATAGGGCTGTAGTAAGCTATGTTAATAGTATAGCTTATGTCTTACCCTGTCATGCTTTTCCCACTTTGTCTTTACAGCCATTCTGCTCTCTGCACCTTAACCTGCAGATGTCTGAGAACCCATACAACTCCGGCAGCATATCCAGCAAGGTCACGGCTCCCTGGCTTATTGTTGCGGCAGGTACGCATCTTCATACCAAAGAATACTTGGTGGCCAAATATTTGTGGACACTTGGCCATCACACCTGTATGAACTTGTTGGACATCCCATTTCAAAACCATGGTCACTAATACAGAGTTTGCCCCCTGTCTAAAACAGCCTCCACTCCTCTGGGAAAGCTTCCCCGAGATTATGGAGTTAATCTGTAAGAATTTGTGCCTATTCAGCCAAAAGACCATTTGTGAGGTCAGGTACTGATGGTGGACAAGAAAACTTGGCTCACAGTTGACATACCAGTTAATCCCAAAGGTGTTCAGTAGGGCTGAGGTCAGGGTTCTGTGCAGGCCACTTGAGTTCCTCCACACCAAACTCATCAAACCATGTCCTTATGGATCTTGCTTTGTACACAGGGCACAACAATGCTGGAACATAAAAAAAGCATTCCTCAATGTCATCACAATGTTGGAAGCACACAATAAACAATACATGTTAACCGTACACTTCACTGGAAACAGGTGATCTCCTGGTTAAGGTGTTCATTATTTCTAAGAAGTGTGTCCTCATTTAGAGGGTGGCCTATAACGTTTAGCCATATAGTGTATGTACTATACATAGTGTTATATTACATATAGTGTATTTAAATATTTTTTACCTATTGTGTTTATTTTGGGCCTGATTTATGGAAAGTAAAATTAATATTCACTAAGCGATAAGGAAAATCACATCACTTTGAAGGTTCTTTGAGAAGGGAAAAGTTACAAAAAGACTGAAGACTGAAGGATAGGCACGCATGGAGATCCTAGAATGACATCAGTTCCAGAATCTGACCTCCTTGAGTAACGTGGAGGCTTGTATGCTTCAGTTCTGGCCAGCTGCCATGTAGGATAGTCACAAACAGGCCCAGATTCCCCACAAGGCCACCGGGGCGGCAGGACGCAGAGGGGCGGCAGCGGTGTCCTTGTGGGGAAGTTGCGGGCGCACATACATATTTTACACATGAATCCATACACTTAACAATATGCAAATGAAGCACATCATTAAATACAAGAAACATTCATTTCTGTTATCTCTGAAGATAGCTTGACCGACCTCTAGACTTCCAAATACATCACTGTAGAACATGGAGAATTACTCTTGGTTGCACAAGGCATTCTAAGAATCCAGAGAGAACTTTCTGCAAAATTCTTTTAGCAAAGTCAACCTGTTATTAAATAAAGAACCTAACATTGGCATACAAGTGCTTGGTAATGTAATTTAATCATAGAATACATTATATTTTTCTCTTAATCATAACCAACTAGTAACTAGTGAAACAAACTTGGTAGGTTAATTGGCTCCTGTCTTAATCTGCCCTGTATGTATGCATGTGTGATAGGGACCTCGGCATTTAAGCTCCTTGAGGACAGGGATTAATGTCAATATGCAACTATGTGTAGCCCCTTCCACACTAAGTGGAGTGGCTTCTTAAATTTAGTGTTGCTAGCACTGTAATCAGTCTGGCTGATTAGCAGTCTGGCATCATCTGGTTAATTCTAGGTGTTCTACTATTGATTTCCCCTACCTGTGGGTTGGGCGTGACCCTGCCACAGAGTGGAACAGCCAATAGGGGAACATTAGGAGTGGTTATGCCCCACCAGCCAATCACTAGAAGTTTAATGGCCAGTGGTGTATGCTGGGAAAGTGCAAAAATACTCAGGAATTGTGATGTGCTCTGTTCAGTCTGCCCCCAGGCTTGGCTTGGGGGTGAGATGTACAAGGTTGGGGAAGCTGACTAGGCCTCAAGCCTAGAGTAGGCCAGTTGTGGACCCCTGTGTGGTCTTGAACTATGTGAGGAGAACCAGAGGAGCTCTATGACTGCTCTAGATGCCAGGAATGCCAGGATGGCATGGACCTCAGGAACAAGTCTGGTGTTGTTCCCAGAGAAGATCTCATGTGTATCCTCTATTCAGCTGTTGCTCTTCTACACTTGCTTTGCTCTAATAAAGTATTACTGCACTGTGGAAGCTGAAAGGGCTTGGTGAGTGTGGAGTCTATTTTTGCTATGGATGTCTGAAGCCCTATACCCCCTCTCCCAGTTTGTCTGTTCTTCAATAAGGCATCTTAAAGTGACTGGCACCCAATTTACTGTTCACATCCCACAACCTGGATAAGTATCCACCCCTGAGAGTGAATGTCAGCCCTCCCTGCCTTTGAGGGCCCCCGTCAGGCCTTCAGGGGTCAGGGGGGCACTACATATGTAAAGTGCTGCATTTATTGTCGACACTATATAAATACCTGAAATAAATAAACTTCAGAGAGGCACACCGAGGATACTTTTCTGGAAGGACATCTTTTTACCTTCATATTTTTTAAAAGGGTTGAGGTGCTCGCTTTAATTTTCGACAGAAGAGCCGCGGCGTACGTTCTGTTCTGATGGCCTGTGCTTCGTTTTGTTGGTAACTGTATAAGCCTAGGAGCCGCTGACTGACGGCGTGGTTTTATGAAGGACGTGGAGATCAACGTGAAAAATCATTGTTGTGTTCATTTGTTGTTGCTCAACAACAGCAGTCAGTCATGTCTTTGTTGTAGCGTGCAATTGATTTATTAGACATACATCAAGTCCTGTAGGACATACAAGCCTATGTGACATTTTATCCAGTTAGCGGATCAGAACTCGGCTAAGATTTGAACGATTTCTTTCTGTTACTGTCAGACTTTCAGGCTCATTTAATAAGGGAAAGAGCAATGTGAAAAGGGCAGTAAGTATCCTGTAGCAACCGTGCAGAAAATATCATCCAGCAATCAGACTAATAATACAACAGACGATTATTGCCGTCTTCACATCACCTTTGTCATTCACACAGCTTGTATCAATGTTGATTTAAGTTCCTGAAATTTGGTTTCCTGCTGATGATTGTAATCTATTTTTTAACACTACTGAGCATAAAACAATACCCCGGTGCTTTATCTTTTGGTGCTTTAAGGTTGACCTTAGGCGTGTGACACCCTCACCGTGACGACATCGCGCATGCACGGCCATCTTTGTGATACCTGCCGGTGGCCATCTTCTTGATGGACACCGGCAGAGAGAGGAGTTCAACCAACGGGATAAGGTATGCCGCCGGGTCCCCTCCTCTCTCCTGCAACTGTTGGGCTCTCTGTCCATGACCGAGTGCCCAACTTTTCAGAGGGCGGTGACACCAAAATGACTCTTAGCCATTTTGGTATCACCCCTCCAATGGTGTCACTTGGGTGCGGGCCTGCACCCCCCGCACCCCACTTGTGACGCCACTTGCCTTAGGTGCAAATTTCAACTTATATTAGCTGGGTAATTGCTAGGATTATGGTTTGCTTTAGGGTTATAGGCATTATTAGTGTGATGGTTAATGTTAGGTTTAGAGTTACAGGAAGCGTTAGTGTTATAGTTGCAGGGAGGATTAATGCTTGGGTTACAGGGAGGGATAGTGTTGGGGCTACAGGGAGGGTTAGTGTTAGGCTTACAGGAGGGTTAGTATTAGAGTTACACAAAGAATTAGTGCAAGGGTTACAGAGAAGGTTAGTGTTAGGTATACAGATAGGATTAGTGTGAAGGCTACAGGTAGGGTTAGTGTTACAGAGGGAGTTAGTGTTATAGTTAGAGATGGAATTAGTGTTATGGCTACAAGGAGAATTCGAGTTGGGGTTACATGGATGGTTGGTGTTAGGGCTACAGGGAGAGGTAGTGTTACGGTTACAGGGAGGGTTAGTATTGAAGTTACAGGGAGGGTTAGTGTTAGGATTACAGGGAGAATACGTTTAAGGGTTCCAGAGAAGGTTAGCATTAGAGCTCCAAGGAGGGTAAGTATTAGGGTTACAGGTAGAGTTAGTGTTAGGGCTACAGAGAAGGTTAGTGTTATAGTTAGAGTAAAAATTAGTGTTAGGGCTACAGAGAAGGTTAGTGTTATAGTTACAGTAAAAATTAGTGTTGGGGATACAGGGAGGGTTGGTGTTAGGGTTATTATTAGGGTTACAGGGAGAATTAGTGTTAGGGTTACAAATATGGTAAGTGCTAGGCTTAGTGTTTCATGGCAAATTAGGGTAGCAGGGTTGGTAAAGGCCTTCATACACAATGCAATTGTCTCCTGTTAGTCTACGACTGAACAAGTGATAATCAATTGATTCCAGTAGCCACGCTAACAGCCTGGATGGAGGAAGCACTACTGCTGGCTGTTGTATGAAGCCACAGAATACAATGACTGTATCTGATAGGCCTACAATTTTCCACCCAGCTCAGCTGATTTCCTAATCCACTTTTGTCAAGCTGGTTGGTCCTTTCAGGGTCATACATGGCTTCATTTTTGCCTGATTCTTCAGGAATTGGACAAAATTCAAGACGTCATTCAGGGCTTTAAGTTTGTTACAGAGTGGGTTAGTGTTCAGGTTAAAAGGAGACCTAGTGAGAGCGGCCTTTTTAGTAAGGCATCACTTTCTTCACCAAACCCCTAACACTGAAATCAGATATATGGAAGAAGATTGCCAGGCTTTCTTATTTGATGTTGCTGTGCACATGCAGGAGCTGGTAGACAGTGTTAGGCTACCATTGCTTCTCAAAATGCCTGGCTGCCATTGCTGACCCAAAACAAGTGTAGACTTTTTCTGACTTTCCCTTACTTATGTGCTCCTCTATGAAAATAAGTTCCATCACTGACTTGGAGGTGGTATCGGCTTTAAGGAACTAGACGTGTTCACCAATAATGGCTTTTGTCACAGATAGGCACCTGTTCTTCAGAGCTATTGATTTACTTACACACAGTGGAGGACAATCAAGGACAGAGTAGATTGCTTTCCAAACTTTGGTCTCATTATATAAAGTATAAGCCCCGCTGTGTACTCCGTCTTCATGTAATGTGTTTCTCTTTCAGGTAACGTTGGCCCTGAACTCTCCTCTACAGACACCAACATGTACATCTCATCAGATGGAGGCAACACGTGGAAACATGTATGTCTTCTAACTAATTATATTAGTTTTTTGGGGGTATAATTGATAAAATAAACATGGGCAATTGTGAATCAAAACAATGTAACTGCTATAAATATCCTAAATGTAGACAGACAGGTATCTATGAATAATTGTCCCCCTGGCGTCCCCCCTAGATACTGGCTAGCAGTGACACCAGAGCGTCCCAGGGTAAGGGCCATGTGTAAGTGCCATGCACATCTTCCCATCTGGCTTTCAGCATCCTGGGATGCTCTAGCTGGTGTCCCATCCAGCTCCTGGCAACCAATGATGTCGCAAGTTGTCAGGAGCTAGGCGGGATGCCAGACAAAATGTCCCTGGTAGCTAAGAGCTGGGTGGGGAGATGTGTATGGGGAGATAAAAAAAGTCAGCTGTCTCCATGGATTGGCAAACTTTTGCTGACCCGTAGAACTGGTCCCCCTCCCTCTCTTCAAGAGGCACCGAATGTATGTGCCATATGTGCCATACTCTGGATATGCCACTGACTGTAGATTACAGTTGGTTCATGTTAATGTAGTGCAATTCAGCTGGAAGTGACTGGGCTCCATACAACTTTCATGGGGATAGTTTGCTCAGCAACTACCATTTCAAGTGCCCCCTCTGTGCCACCAAGGATTTGGCACCCCTAAAAGTTCTTAATCAGCAGTGGTTGGCAGCCTATAGTTCAACCATGTATACATTGTTTTATTGGCACCTTAAGCATTTCTATTTTCACTCTGATGGCTAGTACAAAGATATATTTGCCTCCTTTATATTAATTATATTAATGGTCAACAAAAAAAGTTACCCCTAATCAAAGAGCTCTTCTTCAGAGAAAATGCCCCTTTGATATAGATATTCATTGGAAATGTCTCCTTTACAGTGGTCAATCTGGTAAGTGGAAAGACCCCATTTACATTGGTGATCATGGGACAAGTCTTCTTCCCATTGGCAGTCAGTATACAAGACTTCCTTTTATTTGTAGCCAGTGGGCAGGACTCCATTGATGGTTAGCAAATAAGCCTTCCAAACGTTGGTAGTCAGAGAACAGACCTCCTGAACTTAAGTGGTCAATTAACTGGCCTCCTTTAAATTGGTGGTTAGTGGACATGGTCTCCTTTCCAGTAGTGGTCAAAGGACAGGCCATCTTTAAAGTGACACTAAACTCAGTAGTTCAATCTTAAAAATTAATTCAAGTACCCTGACCTTTACCAACAATGTATAGTATTCGTGTATCACTCGGCTGTAGATCCTCCAATCATCTCTGAATTGGTGCTGACACCGTCCTTCCTCCTTGAGGGGGGCTACTTTTGTTCCTCATGGTCCCTGTGTGTGTTGTAAAGTAGTCACCGCTCCAAGCTCACTCCTATGATGGACTACAATCTCAATGCAAATTAGTAAACTAAACATGAGATTGTAGTCCATCACAGGAGTGAGCTTGGAGCGGTGACTACTTTACAACACACACAGGGACCATGGGGAACACAAGTAGAGAGAAAGTAAAGGGAAATTTCCCCATTGGGACACAAAAATTGACAGAGGATTTAATCATTCCCTACTCTTTACATAATGTAAAGAAAGTCTACTATCAGTTCAATGCCATTTATTTTGGCTCAGTTTACAAGATGTGTAAATTCTAGAATCCAAATTCTTTTTGACTTTTTTCCATCAAAAATATATTTAGTAAAATTCTGATTTTGTATGTGTACCTGTTTGTGTGTATGATATTAGATGGTTTATTTTATTTTTTTCTGTTGCCAGATATTTGAAGAGGAGTACAATATTTGGTTTTTGGACTGGGGCGGAGCTCTGGTCGCCATGAAACACACCTCTCTGCCGGTACGCCATTTGTGGTAAGAAACCAGTGAATTTCCATTAGTTTAAAGGCATTTAATGGAGGTGTTCCCCCATTTTTACAGGGGAGCTGTTTCTGAAAACTGCCACCCTATGTAGTTATCTGAAAAGTGGAAAAAACATTTTTCATGTAATAGCAAATATAATGTGACAGGTCCTCTTTATGGAGACATCAGGGGTCTTTCAGACCCGTAATGTCACCTAGGGACCCCAAAGAAGGCGTTGAAGCAGATATCTGCTTCACCAGCTTCTTCTCCTGGCTCCAGTGATCGGAGGAGAGATCCGCAGCTGGAAGCCGCTGATTTCTCTTCCGATCTATCAGTGAAGACCCCCCATGCCGGTCTCGGACTCACGCAGGAGCCCAGGAAGCCGACGCGGTGGCGTGGGGGGGGCACACGGTGCCGCACAGTCCAAGCGATTTGGCGCCTGTATAGATGCCGGATAGCTTGTATTTAAACAGAAATCATGTCCTTGGTATAACGTCTTCCAGCGGATGACGTACAGTTACGTGAACCCGCTGGAAGTGGTTAAAGTGACATTAAACCCTGAGATTTTTTATCATAAAACAATACTGTAATGTGCGCCTTACTGTAATCCATGGTTGTTTCCCTTCTCTTTGCTGCTCTTCCTTTTAAATCCTCATGTCTTCTCATGCTGGGCGAGAACTTCCCTTTGCAGCTAAGTGCCTCTTCCTGTAGTGCTGGCTCAGGTTGCAAACCTATACACAGACACCATGTATCCATTCCAGAGACAAGGCTGTCTGCTGCAAAACAGAAGTTCTGCCCAGCATGAGAACAGATACAGATTTAAATGGAAGAGCAGCAAAGAGAAGGGAAACAACCATGGATTACAGTACGGCACACATTACAGTATTGGTTTATGTTAAAAAATCTGAGGGTTTAATGTCACTTTAATGTGTGCGATACACTGCACGTTTTGATATATTTTGCATAAGTTCTCAACTGTGCCATAAGTGTATGCAGCATTTGCAACATTAAAAGACCTCCAAACTGTCACATATTCTAGAAGTCCTTCTGAGCACTTCTTACAGTATCGCAAGGTTAATAAGTTTCATACCCTCGTCAGCTAAGCACTGCGGGCTATTCAGTGTCCCCCAGGAGGTTCCCAGCAAGCTTGCAACAATTTAGAGACAATTCAGAGACAATTAAGGCCCCTTTCACACGGGCTCATCAGGAGGGGATCCATGCACGGATTCCCTCATGATCCCAGGGGTACAGATCAGATGTCATCGCTGTGACATCCGTGTCCATGCAGTTTTTTCCTCCATCTTGCGATGGAGGAACAAATTGAAGTGACCGGACCACATGTCAATCTATAGGGAGTCCACTTCAGATTGAGTTACATTATATTACCCCCCAGTCTGGCACAATCAGGTCCATTGAAACGGAACACTGTTCAGTGTGCTTTTCCAGACCTGGCTGGAGTTGGTGGTAAGTGGGCGTAAACAGATGCCCGTCCATTTACACACAGCTGCCCATACACTAGCATTGGGCATCCGATTGGGTCCACCTGAAAAACTGACAGGCGGACCCGATCGGACCACCATGTGAAAGGGGTCTAGGTCGGAGACAGAGACAATTTAAAGACAGAGACAACTTAGAGACAAATTAGAGACAGAGACAACTTAGAGATGAAAACAAGTTGGAGACAGTTTAGAGACAGACAACTTAGAGACATTTTAGAGACAGAGACAACTTGAAGAAAATTGAGAGACAGAGACAACTTAGATACAACTTAGAGACAATTTAGAGGCACAGGCCACTTAGAGACAAATTAGAGACAACGTAGCGGCAATTTAGAAACAACTTAGAGACAATTTAGAGACAATTTAGAGGCACAGATAACTTAGAGAAAAATTAGAGACAGAGAAAACTTAGAGACAAATTAGAGACAACTTAGAGGCAATTTAGAGACAATTTAAAGACAGAGACAACTTAGAGACAGAGACAACTTAGAGACAACTTAGAGACAATTTAGAGACATAGACAACTTAGATATAATTTAGAGACAGAGACAACTTAGAGACAATTTAGAGACAGAGAAAACTTAGAGACAATTTAGAGACAGAGACAAATTAGAGACAATTTAGAGACAGAGACAACTTAGATATAATTTAGAGACAATTTAGAGACAGAGACAACTTAGAGACAATTTAGAGACAGAGAAAACTTAGAGACAATTTAGAGACAGAGACAAATTAGAGACAATTTAGAGACAGAGACAAATTAGAGACAATTTAGAGACAGAGACAACTTAGAGACAATTTAGAGACAGAGACAACTTAGAGACAATTTAGAGACAGAGACAAATTAGAGACAATTTAGAGACAGAGACAACTTAGATACAATTTAGAGACAATTCTCCTTTTGAAGGCATTTAGGAATGACACATAACCTAGGTTACTAAATCTGAATTCAGGTATAATTTATGATGCAACCAAATTGAAAAACGTCCCTCGTTGTCTTTCATCTTTTATACCTGCCTAGAATTAATGTTTAAGCTTTATAGCAAAGAGAGAGAAATGAGAGATTCTAACCCAAGTAAGAGGGGGGTAAACACAGTCAAATCAGTGTTACGATCTTAAGGTGATATCATGTTATAAATATTGAGAAGAAACGGGGACTGTGAATATAGAACCCCAAAAAGATGCATTGCACAAAAAATTGTTTGTATGCAAACAAATGAACCCAATTAATGACTAATGTCATATGCTAAATACTGCAATAGTCTCAGGAAATCTACATTGCAATTCGGATATTCGGATCCTGAATGACATTCTAGGAGACCTCAGCTGTAGTATTATATGTATTTACTGTATATGGCTCCCGTGTTGCCGTAACGAAAATTCGTATTCAGACCCATTTGGATGCATTAAAGGAGAACTATGGGGTCAGGGCTTTTCCCCATAGTTCTCCTTAGGGTAACGGGAGGACACAAACTAGCGTCCTCCCGTCACCCTAAGCTCAGTATACCGCGAGCTACAGCTCGCGGTATACTGAGACGCCGCAGCCGGAGCGGATCCCGACATCGTTGTTGAGATTCGCCCAGCTGCGTGAGTGACAGCTGGCTCTGCCTATCTAGAGGCAGAGTCAGGTGTACCCGCCCCCACCCCCGTCTGTTCCGCCAGTCAGCGCTGGCGAATCAAAGCGGGGAGGGGGGAATCCAGCCCCTCCCTTGTCACGGCAGAGAGCCGTGACAGGATCAAGAGGTGAGCGAACGCCAGTATGTGTTCGCTCACCTCCCGATCTACTGAGCCGACCTGTGACAGTCTCATTGTCACAGGTCGGCTAGAACTATGAGGTGAGTGAAAAGCATTCGCCTCATAGATCTCCTTTAAACCGAAAAAAACATCTGATTGGCCAAAAAAAGTCACATGGCCAATTCAGTTTTGTTTTTGAACGAAATTCAGACGGGATCCAAAGTTCGTAAACGGAAATTTGGATGCATTGGGTATGCGGAAATTCGGATGTGTCTGAATTTCTGAACATTTTTACAAATTTTTATTTGGAACGAAACGAATCGCACATGTCTACTACTTTAAACACACACACAATAATGCGAGTTACCGCAATGGCATAGTACGAAGGGACCGCAATGCTAAATTGTCTTCAGGGTCAGGAAATATTCCAATTTTTCTGCTTTTACAGCCTGAACATCAATTATTAAAAAAGGACAATTCATAAAAAGCCAGTTCCCGGAAGGTTGTCATTTACGAATCAATAAGCTTTTATAGGTCCGCGTTGCTTTGACTTGCTTCACAGAGTCTCACCAAAAGGACGGGGAGTAGAAAGCGAATTGTGAGCACACCATGTTATTACCCCGAACCGTGCAGGAAGCTTTGCAGAGCTCTCTGATAACAGTCACACTTCCCGCGTCATAACACTACATCGCGCACCCTTCTGCAAAACTACATCCTCTGTTAGGAGACATTAAAGGGAGATTCTTCTTAAGGACACTGTGTTTGTTTTGTCTTTAGGCTGAGCTTTGATGAGGGTCGGACGTGGAGCAAGTACGGTTTTACCACCGCGCCACTGTTTGTTGATGGAGCGCTGGTGGAACCTGGAGTGGAGAATCAGATCATGACGTGAGTAGGATAAAATATTTTGTTTTCTACAAACTGGACTAAACAGTGTACGCTGATCAACAAAAGGCGCTGACACCTTCTTCTTCATTTTCTTTCATTTCATTTGTCTTCCCATGCTGTCCTTACTTTTTCTTCCCATTCCTTTCCCTTTCCTTTCCCTTTCCATTCCTTTTCCTTTCCTTTCCCTTTCCATTCCTTTTCCTTTCCTTTTTCATTCCCTTTTATTTTCCTTTCCCTTTCCTTTTCCTTTCCCTTTCATTTGCTTTTCCTTTTCTTTCCTTTCCCTTTTCCTTTATTTTTCCTTTTAATTTTCCTTTCCTTGTTCCTTTTCCTTTCCTTTTTCATTCCCTTTCCTTTCACTTTCATTCCCTTTCCTTTCCTTTTTTTGTTACCTTATCATTTCCTTTCCCTTTTCTTTCCTTTTTTTGTTACCTTATCATTTCCTTTCCCTTTTTCCTTTTCCTTTTCTTTTTTCTTTCCTTTCCTTTCAGTTTCCTTTACTTTGCCATTTGTTTTTTGTTCCTTTTCATTTTCCGTCCCTTACTTTTCTATAATTTTCCTTTCATTCTTTTTTTCCTCCTCATCTCTTATTATTTCTTCTCTCCCATTCTCTTTCTGTTATTTTCTCGTTCCTTTCTTCCACCTTCTCCTTCCTTTTTTTTTTCTTAATAGAAAGGCAACCTTGGCTAATGTGGTGTTAGGTCTAAACCTTACAAAATATATTTTATACATGAATACAATCAATCTTACTTTATATACTGGAAGCTTTTAAGGTAAAGGTGATGTGTCCCATATTTTAAACATTGAATGGGCAGAATGGTCCAGTCTCCAACAAATGTGACCATCAATGGTGGACAAATCTCCCTGATGTCACATCCTCTTGTATCCTCATCTTCTGACCGGGCTGTTTGATGGCCAGTTGGGAGTATAGTCAGCTTTGAAAGTTGTTTGTTGTTCATTACACTTCTTCAGAGCCTAAGAACAGCCGATGTATATGGAGAATAAACACACCCCACCCCCACCCCAAGCATTGTCAATGGAGGCATGGTTAGATCTTTGCAACTTTAAGGAAATTATGAAGTCCAGGCAAATCAATTTCATTTTCATGATTTCCCACAAGGCCACCGAGGCTCGGCCTCAGGGTGGCATGGATCAGAAGGGTGGCAGGGGTGTAGAATCTCTCGATGCCCGGGACAGGCAGTTCCGGGTGCCAGGCGGGTACTTGTTTTCTACATTTAGCCCTGTTTTGGGCAAGCAGGGCTAAATGTACAGCGGGGAAGCCGCTCGTTCATTTACAGGTCCGTCCTCCCCCGCCGCCCTCCCACCTCTCTCCACGCTGAAGATCTTCAGGCTCCGTCCAAGCACCACCCGCCCTCTCCCCGGCATGTACCTCTCTCCACCAGCCGGAGATCCTCAGGATGGAGAGCGGGGACCAGAGCGGAGAATGTCTGTTCTCCACTCGGCTCTGTGTAAACAGTGAGAGGGGAGAGCTGCACTTGCAACCTTCCCCTGTCAGCTGTCATTAAAGAGAACCTGTCACCTCCAAATGTTATCACACAGGGGCTTGTTAGCTCCTGTTTGATAGCAATAAACATAATTAAAAAATAATATAAAAATAAATAAATAA